TTTCCAGAAAGCCAGAAAGAACCGATCCCAGTAGAATATATGTACATTGTAATTATTTTAATAGTATATGTCTGCAAAAGCCGTATTTGATTATATATTTACTTTTACAATTTGGACTGTATTATAGTCAGAGAGGTGCTTGTAGTTGTGTGTGTGTGTGTGTGTGTGTGTGTGTGTGTGTGGTGCTGTATTTAATTGATCCAGCCCCTGGCACACCACTTGTGCACCAACACAAACACACCCGCACGAACACACACTCGGTGATCCTCCGCCCACCCTCATCCATAAATACATTTCCACTGCAAATCACACGGAAAAATAAATCACCATGGTTACGGTAATAAAATAATTGCCGTGCTTGAAGGAGGCTCCTGACTGATGACGCTCGCGAGGCCTCTTCAAAATTGGTAATTACAGAGCGAACGTGGCGTTTGATTCAGCAGCTGAGAGAATGTTCGATCCAAGACCGTCGGCTCACATTATCACCGGATTATTTGTTTCTGTATTTTTTTGAAGGTTCTGTGTCTTTTTTTTTTTAATCCATACTCATGTTGTTGTTAGATAGAGGTGGCGATCGTGTTACTGAAAGTGAAAATGATTGGGCCCTTATTATTGGCCTACTTAGGCATTATTCCCTCATGCTGAGGACTCATCCTATGAAGGGCTCCTCTTTGCTTTACTCAAACCAAATGACAAAACCAAAACACACAGCGGGAGAAACTAAATTGACCCGCGGCCCATTCTTAAACCCGAGGACACCTATTGGGTCAATACAGTTCAGCTCAGTTAAAAAGGTTTAACTTGGTTTTCTTAATTGAACGCTAAGGCAAAGGCTAATCACAGTGTGAAAAGAGGAATTAAAAGGTAACTTCAATGGAATTAAAACGCAAATTCACGGAGGCAGAAGGAGAGACAGGGGGGGGTCAGGGCTTCTTTGCTGCTGCAGGGGGTCAACTGCTCCTCCACGAGGAGCTGGGGTCTCCGTGTGACCTGCTGCCCTACTGCACGAGCATCAATATTTCAAGGGAGAGCAAAATGCTTAATTACTACCTCCAGTTTCACTCTGTGTTTATGCGTGTCTGAGTGTGCAAGAGAGAAACTGCTGTGTGTGTGTGTGTGTGGACATAATTAGCTGCTTTCTCTCTGATCCTTAATGCATTATTGAATATTTCAAAGGAGTTTCAGTCCTCCGGGCTGAGTGACTGCCAAAGCTGGATCACGGGGGCCGGTTCGGCCCCGATGAAGGGCGGTCCGGCCATTAAGGAGTCTGGGCCGCTCTGCTGGCCTTGTGTGAACCTGAGGCTCATGAATAATATAAGTGAGCCGTACTGTATTCTGAAGCACTTTGGAATGCGGAAGAAGAGGAGGAGGCGGGAGGGGGGAGCCGATGATATTGATTTATTTTATTTTTTTTGTTGGATGATTCGTCGCAATCAGTCAAACAGTCAGTGGCTCGTCTCGTTGGAGTTTAATTCAAAACTCTCCATCCCCGACAAGACAAGTTGTCATGGTAATATGCCGTTTTCCTCCTGACATTTGTTTTGTTGCCGCAAATGCCACCGTTCTCTATAAGATCCACAGATCCAAGCTTTCTGAAATACGTTTAAGTGAATAACGAGACAGTTACAGCAAAGTAAGCATACGTTATCTTGTGTGCGTTTACTCGGTAGGTATTTTAGGTATGTTTAAAAAGCAGTTCTCCCGTAAGATTAATTGTGGACTTTTAGCTTGGGTCTAAATGCCCGCCCTCACAGACTGGAACACTTATTTATGAGGCACTGAGCAACTTTAAAATCTACACACTGTATTTTGGTAATGAACTCACACAAAGTGGAACATCTATCATCGGTTTATTTTATGGATCCACGTTTGTTCAATCAATTCAGGAAACCAGCGGGGGAGAGTAAGTAAGTAGGCTATTTTCACCACACTTAAAGCTGCACTAATCAATATATTTACTTTGACGATGCATCAAATGACTATGTGCCATGTGCAATGATGAGTTACGCTACTTCTCTTGTCTTCACAGTGAGGTTGAAATAGTCGCATAGCCCTCAAGAAGAACACTTTATAAGTCCAATAAGCTAACATGACGTGTCTGTCCAAAAATGTGCAACTAACTAATTAGAAGTTTAATGTTTGCTTCTTCAAATACATTTAACCAGCTTCTCTCTTTTTTTTAGGGCTCTGATTACTTTCACTGTGATTGTAAAAAAAACACAGAAGAACTCTTCTTTCATCTGAACAACCGCAGCAGAGCAAGTGGCTAAAATGTATCTGCTTCTCTCACATGCTTCCGTGGGAATTCCACCGCATCGCGCATTAAATGCTGACACGGCTCCTTAGAGCAGCATGTGACGCAGGGCGCACAAACGGCTGATGATTTATGGCGACGCATAACTAGTCTTTTTTTTTCTTTTTCTCAGTGAACAAATGAGTCTGCCTCAAAACGGATCCTCTCAGCGTTTTGGAATAAGCCCCCCCCTCTCATCCCCCCGTGCCATGCACATGCACTCGGTAACCGGTTTGCTCCGAGCCCCGGCGAAGGCCCGTCTCCAATCCATCACTGGTCAGACCATGTGATGCGTAAAAAGAGAACGCTCGTCCAAGTCATTGTGGGGGTAAAATGCCCATGTGATCTCCCCACCATCAATCGAATTGACTAAACCTCCATGAGGGTGCGCACACATACACCCATTGAGCTTTGTGTCGGCCATAAGCTCTTTTCTAATAAACCTGCGCTGCATTAAGCATTTGGGTCAAAAGCTTTCACAATCAGGTGTGTTCTCGTTCAGTGTGCAAGGATTTCCAAGATCAATTCTGTTCTTGCCGCAAAAGCCATGCCCACCGCTGTGTGTGTGTGTGTGTGTGTGGCCTGTCTTTAAGGCCCGTTGTTTATTAATGTCTTCTATCCGCGGGGGTCCACCTCATTGTGCGCTTTGGACAACAGCGATGTTGCCTAGATGCAGCGGTTGTTTTTCAGCCCGACGCCCCCTCAGTTTGACCCCGAGGTCATCCCCGCAGACTACAAGTACAACGAATGTAAAGTCAAAACAGCTTGATGAGCACAGCATGTGCCGAGGCCCCCGTTTCCCAAACGGCAGCCACGATAAGCGCGCCGCTGAATAGCAGCTAAATGGCTTCGTCCAGCACAGAGCAAGGAGGAGGGGGAAGTGACACAAGCGTTTCAACCCCTTTGCCGACGTCAACGCGCCGACCTCAAAGTCAAAGTAAAGAAGAGATCTTGTTAAATTGATGTTTCTGCGCCGTTGTGTTTTCCATGAGCGTGAGGCAAGTTTGTGTTTGTTTGCGAGTGTGTGGGCGTTCAGGGACTTTTAAGAGAAGTATTGCCGGCAGCAGCCGGCGCTGCCTCCTCTGCATTGAGATCAATACATTAGGCCTTTGGGGAGGAGCTTGACCTATGCAAGCAGTTTTTCATTATCAGTTAGGTCTTAAAAATACAGTTTTCCTCCATTGTGGCGCTGCCTTGGATGTGTTGTATTTTGCTTTTCCACTTGCAATACACAGATAAAATATGTGGTTGGGTAAAACCTTGCGGCGCTGATATCCTTCTGATAATAAATGCTGAATAGAGCACGAACACGTCGGCATTCTTGGTTTTCTTTAACACTTGTTTAACACTGTCGCTCTGACTGAGATAATGTGGAGTAATGTGAACGCCACCACTGCGATGCATCAAATGCCACAATATATTGTGACACGAGGCAGAAGCACATGCCGACCACCACCCGTCTGACTCAGGATTGATCATTGATTGGCAATAAATTGAGCCCATTAAGGTCTCTGCTTCGAACAGCTGTTGTTATGAAATATCACAGCAATAACTAACACCGTCTTTGGTCCCCGACACCGCCGATGGCCCGACTCCTGTCAAACTGCGATGCCTTCATTCCTGGTACCATTCCACTGAAGCATGGCCTTGGACCTGACAGAGCAGTCTGTGATGGCTGTGTTCATTGTCCGCACGCTCAATAGGCAGCACATGGCGTGGGCAGCAGTCAGTGGGGCTAAATTTGTGCCTCTCTGCTCATTCCGGGGATATTTGTGACTTACTCCTTGTTGACTCGCTGTGCTTCTTGCTGACAAAGGGTCTCTGTGTGTCATGGATCGCTAAATTCAGCCAGCTGCATGCAATTAGCCCGCAAAATGCTGGGGATGTACATGCTCCTCCGCAAAGCATCAAGTGGTGATGGTATGCTGATTTAGGTGCTTCGATCTGCTGAAAAATATAGAATAAAATGGGTTTTCTGTTGTTTTTGCAGTTTGGTGTGTTCTGGAATTGTAATAAGTAATCAACATACTGTATGTTTGTATGGAGATGCTTATAAGAATGACCACATATTCTATGTTTTTGTGATGATTTGGGCTGTCAGAACATAAAATAGACCAAATAAATGGTTATTATCAATAATCAATACCATTATATTAAAATAACAATATTAAAAAAATGTATTGAGAGAATCACGTCTGTGTCATGTAATCAGGACATTACTGTACATTAGTCAAATAAAAATGTTGGATATTATGGGAATAAATACCTTTTCTCACAGAATAAATTGCAATAGGTGTTGTCAAATGTCTTTAATCTTCTCAATCTTAATCATCTATTCGATGGCAGGCGGTTTTGACGGACAGACAGGGAGGCACTGGTCCATAAATCAGCGGCCACATCTTTCGCCACAGGGAGATTCACTGTTGTTTCCTAGGTAACGAGCTCCCCCTCCCTTTACCCTTGGTGCATCTGGACTGTACCACTTTCCCTGTAGGGTTGAACATCTGTTGTTGATCGAATAAAAGTAAATCCCCGTGTTGAAGTTGAACAACGTGTTGCGACATATTACAACAGCACATTGTTTCTACTTTAGTTTCAGCTTATAACATTCGATATAGTTAAAAATCAATACGTAATTAATGTTTAAACCTTATTCATAACCCCCTAGCGAAGCACATTCAACATTCCTCGAACTGTCAAAATCGCTTGTTGCTTCTTACCCGAGTGTAAAAAGTAGTTAGCGAGCTAGCGTGTAGCGAGTCAAAGCTTACTTCTGCCTTTTCAATAAAATACCGTTTTTTGAAACCACGAAAAGTTGGCCCGAGGACAGAAAAAGTCAGGAGTCTCGTCCGAAGACCCATATCTTTTCTTCTCCCCGTCCTGTTCCTACCGTCCGCGGGTCCCGTCACAACCGAAATAGCGCTCTCGAGAGGCGGCGGCGGCTGCTGAAGTGCAGCTGGATGTGACAGGTTCGTCATCAGGTAAGCTGCAGGTAGTTAGCTTAGCAGCTAGCGCCGTGCCCGTCCGGCGCTCGCCGCGGGGCCGCGGCGGACATAACAGTTCTTTTGAGCAGTTGACGTGGCTAAAAATGGTTGTAACGATGCTGCTTCGGCGCGTTAAACACTAAACGCCGAATGTCCGAATTTGCCACGCTAGCTCATCATAACTGGCCAGATGACGTTAGCTAATGGAAACAAGTAAAAGAAGCTCCACTGTAAAGCAAATCAAATCGGCTGCGTAGTGGTGCCCGCGTGCCCTTTCCTCCGCTCGGCTTAAGCCGCTTCACGTCAAGTAAACAATGTTTATAATGGAATCACCCGGGGACTGGCTTGATAATAACTCATTTATTATTGATTCGATCCACGGTCCTCGGTCACCGTTATTACGTGATGACGTTGTCGTCGTTGTTGCGAGGTGCACTCGAAGTACAAAGCAACTTGCCGCTGTGTGTTAACGTTACTTTTCAAAGGCAAACGTGAAGGCACAACAACCCTAATTGCGACTTGACTAATGGAGTGTTGGATTTAATTGCTGTGTGCGACGAAGAAGAAAGGCGTTCTATTGAGTCGTGAGTGGAGGCACATTTTAAATCCATGGCTGAGCTGCAGCTTTTTCCACCTAGGTGAGGTTAATAAGTTGTGATCGGGCTTGCTGCCATGTCATGTACAATAATTGGTCCTTCTAAAAAACAGAAAATTGCTAATTGACATCTCAGAGGAGGATTGCATCAGTGGAAAGAAATGAACTATTAGTACAACAATATCACCGCGGCTTGTCATTAATGGAATATGTTGTGTTCATTAAGGCTATTAAAGTAATTGCACACTTGAGAAGGACATAGCAGTCGGCCGCACTCCACAACAGTTTGTAATAATCATCGGAATGAAGCATCGGCCTGCGATCCATAGGATTAGAATCACATTGACCTAAAGAAAACGGTTACGGTTTGATCCTCAGCCAGCAGCAGTGTTAATATAAATAATCCAGTACTTCCTGGTTAATCTTTTGAACTCGGTTTAATTGCACAGCTTTGGGAGACACTGGTTGACCAGTGGCCCACACATCCGCTTATTTATCCTCCATCACCATGTGGACCTGTGTGACGGGCTCACGAGAATGGCTTTGGAGCGGAAGGAAGCGCAATTCTCTGCCGCTTGATATTTGATTACGGCTAATAATAGAAAAAGACAGCTGCCTTTTCATTGATCTGTCTTCGGTGCCCTATTTCTGAGCCCAGTTTTTTCTGTCTCTCTCTCTCTCTCTCTCTCTTCCACCAAATACAGCGTTCTGCGCTGGTTACCATTTTAAAACTGGTCTAATCCATCGGTTCTCATTTGCCCGAAATCAGCCACTGTTTTCTGGCCTTTCGTATTTGGAAAAGGAAAGTGCTTTGGGCGACACCGTCCTGGATCTGGCTGTGTGTGAGCGAGCATAGCCGTTTGGGGTCAAACAGGACAGGGATGATAAGAGGGGAGGGGATACGATGTGGGAAGGAAATGGCTCGCCTTGTTTGTCTGCCGGGCCTTTGTTTGTTTTCCTGTCGGACAAACCTATTTAGACGATAGGCCGTCTGAGGTCTGCCGATGGAAATTAGTAACAAAACAGCACGCTTGTTAAACATTTATTATTCAGTAATGTGGTTACCGAGAAGTCGGATGCGGCCAAATGAGGAATTGCTAAGATTCATCCATCAGCGATGGCGTAGAAGGCCGGCAGTCCCACTGCTATGAATGATATTTTCATTTTGTTCTTGACTTAACAGTCAAGTTTCCTCCTGCAGGAATATACTGTTATTGCTGCCCACGAGCATTCCTGCTCCTCTAATCTGCCGCATCCGTGTGCGGCGTAGTTAGGCTACGTTTGCAGGGAGGTGTAAGGTGACACTTTTGCTTTTTCACAAAGGCTGACATCTTCCCCGCTTCCCTGCTCGTATAACGGCAGAGGGCCGTCTGTGATTTCATTACAGGAGCTCTGATGCCCAAGATGACGTCACTGTTTGCCGTCACTTGCTGTGGTGGCCAATTTTTCATGCCACAGAGATTACCCCCCCCCCCCACCCCTCCTCCGACCCCCGTCGTCTCCGGTCCATTTGACAAATACATTCCCTGTGGAGCATCGCACCATTAAAGGATAATGTGAAACGTGTTTAGCCCCATCGATGTCAACGAAACGCCCAGGCTGCTGCGTCATTCACAGCCTTTGTAGGAGACACAGGCAGAGAGGGTAGACAGACAGACGCAGAGGGACACAGACACAAACAGAGAGAGACACCACAGACAGACGGTACAGCTGTTCTATTGAATCCGGATCGAAAAGTCATGAAGCTGCTTCTCTGACTCATCAGTTCTGTGACGCTCCGGTTTCACGGCTCATGCGATGCACAACAGGCATGTCATCAGCTGAGTAGAGGGGAGGGGGCGGTGTTGGGAGTGGGGAAGGTGGGGGGGAGGGGAGGAGACGGACCAACGCGTTCACGTCCCAGCCACCACCAATCTTCCTTTTTTTCCCCAAATGCCAATCGCAATAACAGCAACAGAAATGTTCGCCGGGCTGCGATTTTGCAGTCCAGTAATCTCGGGAGTTTGAATGAAACCGGCCTCGAAAGACGCCTTTGAGAAACAGGTCAAACGTACAGGTGAGGGAAGGAAAAGAGACGTGTCAGTGGAGGAGAGGGGACGGGGGCTGGTGTGTCTGGTGGTGGTGGGGGGGGGGGGTGGATGAGTTTAGAGGACAGATGCTGAGGAGAGGTAGAGGAGAGTCGGAAGGGGGAGGATGCGTGGTGCTCCGGTTTCCTGGGGGGGTGGTGTTAAATGTGATGACAGGACATCGACAAGGACACGGCGGATCTTCATTACCATTCGACTGCAGCAACTCCTTGATCGGCGCTCACTCGCTTCGCCGTACAAGTCGCCACTTTACACTCCGGAGCTCGTTGCCTATTAGGAAACGATCCGCCTCGTGCCGATTGGAATTTGAACACAATCAAATTCCCCCCCGGAGAGGGATGGGGAGAGAATAACTAACGTACCAGCTAGTCGAGCGCGGCATAAAATTGGGGAAATACCTTTTAAAATCAGCATTCAGGGGTCGTCACCGTAGGCACGGTCTTCGCCCAATCACACAGTCTGCTCCGCTCCAATGGAGAGGCACCAGAAGCTGTGACTCAGAACAAGCTGCCTTTCCATTGGCCGGAGCCGCTGAGGGGCAGGGACCTTGCTGTGCAGGAAGGGGCCGGCTCGAGGGGTGTGTGTGTGTGTGGGGGGGGAGGGGGGTCGGCTGAAAGTGTTTCAGCCAGATAGTTGGAGTAGACGCTCTTCTGCTTCCTGCCCGCCCGCCCGCCTGCCTGCCTGCCTGCCTGCCTCGCTCGCTTGCTCCCTGAACGAGAGACAGACAGAGAAAATCCCTGTCTAGGCATGGACCCCCGGCTGCAGCAGCGTGCCGCTCGCGAGGAATGACAGCAGTTCACGTGGTCATTAACTCCACTCGCTGAGGCTGAAGGGAAACGCTGCGGCGGGGCTCGGTGTCACTGAAGCGCCGGGCGGCTCCTGAGTTCAAGACGGCAGACAGACAGAGAGGCACGCAGCAGAGCTACGGGACCCAGCGGAACGAGGTGGGGGAACGACCGTCCCGTAGGACGGCTTTATCTTTACCTTTTATTCCTTCTCCCCCCCCCCACCCCACCCCAACCCAACCCTCCTTTTTTTGTGTGGAAAGGTTATTTTCTTTCCAGGAGTTTTTGCTGCAGTGTGCTGCATTCCACTCTGAGTGGGGAGGTAGGAGAGGGAATGCTGAGGGAGGGTGAGACAATATTGCCGCGCGTGGGATAAATGCACACGAGTGCCGTGCAGTAATTGCGCTCGCAGCATTTGCCGGCACCGTAATGGACTTTCTCTTTCGACTCCAGAAGGAGAGGCGTCATCACAGGATTCGACTGGCCCCCTTCCCTCGGCGCAAATGTCAGGAGCTTTTTCTCTTTTTTTCTTGAGGAACGAACCGGTCGCGCCGATCGTCCGTCCACACCGCTTTGCGCCCTTCTCACAAAGTTTACCAGTAACTTTTTGGGGTGGTTTTCTCTCTCCCTTGAGGGTTGATGTTCTGACACGGTTCCTGTACGTGGACACAACGGGCGTCATAGTGAAGCTGATGTGTTAGAAGAGGCATGGTGGACGTGTCTCTCGCCGCTGTCTGTCCAGATTATCATCGGCCGTGTGGAAAAGGGGCCGGGGTGGTGTCATACGTCTGGCTGTGGATCAAGAGGGGGGAAGTGGGTGTTTTCCTAAAACGGAACATCAGTTCAGCCCTTCCTGTTGCCGAAAAGAATGAGATAAGTCCCAGCCAAGTACCAAGTCCTCTACTCTCCGATGCAAATTGCACCCTGGGACAGTATTGATAGGATTAAGTGGTCGGGAGGTTTTTCCAGACGCCTATCCGTGACACCGGGGGGGGCGGGTGAGTTTGCTGAATCATCGGTCTTTAAGTGCTGTAATTTGAGCGGTTAGGACTTCAACTCTTTTGATAGGCGTTCACTGAACATTTTACAAACCCTCGCTTCACATCGAGGCTTTCCAATCCTCGATGTGAAGCGAAGCGTCTCTTACAGTTTTCACGCCTCAGTCCTTCAGATTGAGTGAGCTCGGGCTTTCCGCTAATCATCATGTTTATCCAAAACGCCCCCTCTACCGGCCAGCCCTTCTGTAATTAGCTGATTACTTGCCTATGTCCTCTGGCGTAAAAGCAGGGGAGAAGCACCCACGCAGGGAGCAAGTGCGTTCCCAGAATGCAGAGGGGCCTATGAACGAAGCAAACCAGGTAAAACGGGACATGGTGGACATTCGCGGGGCGCCCCCTCTGATCAGAGCAGGCCACTGCGTCACGTGTGGTTTAGCTGAGGCTATTGCGATACGGGTCACACCTATCTGCTGACTCTGGAGAAAAAAGGCTCCCTGTGTGGCCTCTGGACCGCAGCTCGGCCCCGGCGAGGCCTCCACTGAGCCCACTCACCCCTCCTTATCGCTAATAGCACTTGATGATATCGAACTCAAGGAGCCCGTAGATTATGCCAAGGACAATTTCATAAGCGCCATAACGTCCATCGTATTAGAGAGGAATTAGGCCGCAGGCTCTGATCCTACCTGGAGGATGCGAGGGAACGTTTTGCAAGGCGATGACGTCGCGCTGGAGGAGAGACATTATGATTAAACCTTCAGTGTTTTTGCTCACTCGTTTTCCATTACTCACTGGAAACCCAACGTTTTCCCATTTTGCTCCAACAATGAGGCCTCTCTCTCTCTCTCTGTCTCTCCAAACCTCGGGGAAAAAAAACATTGACCACTTGTTCCCCTCGGCCATGCAAATGACTGTAGAAGAGGTTCAAAATGGTAATGAATGGAAATACGTCCACTCCTGTTCGCTCTCGCCCGCCACAGCCGTTAGTGTTTTTCGCCATCGACACCTGGCTGACGCCGCAGCAGACGGACGTTTGTCCGGAGGGTCCCGAACCAACGGGGGGGGGGCTGGAGGGAGGAGAGCGCGGGGGAGCCTATCGTTCGCGCCGAGCAAACGCCAGCATCCAAGGTACCGGACTAATGGGCCACACGCGGGGGCCCTGGGAGGTCAAGCCAATGACTTTCACTGGAGACGCCGCGGATCCCGCTGACTCTCGTTCAATTAAGCAGCCCGGCGGAGATAATGCCGCTGCCAGCTGGCCGTAGTACGCGGCGGTAATCCGTAAAGTCTAGTGCGGTGGGGCTTTTTCTTCATACCCCTACCCTTCCCCACCCGACCCTCCCCCGCACTCCCATCGGGTCACGCTGTCCCCGTCCGCCGTTTGTATGTACACAGGGGACCGGGACGAAACAAAAGATAAACAGGACGTAGAGCGGGGCGCTCTTTGGGTTTCGGTATAGCTACGTGGTCCCGTGTGCGCCTGGAAACAGAGAGAGCAGCCGTGTTCACATTCACGCATCCATCTAAGTTCAATAGCTTTGTCACAGAACATTTGATCAGGCTTTTCTTTCCCTTGAAGGACGGCATGAACGTAGCCTGGACCAGTCGAGGTGCACAGCGGGGCTGATGATTTGGGCCATGTGCGGTCCCTTCCTACCTGCTGACCGCCTGTCTTTCCCTTTGCGCATTGAGCTGGAAGCCTGGCTGCTCTAAGCCCAGTGTAAACTAACCCGGGTTAGTTTACACTGGGCTTAGCGGTCCAGGAGCAGCTAAGTTAGCCCGAGCCCCTGTCCCAAAAAGGCACCGGTCCAACCATTGCCAGTCTTGTCTCGGCGAAAGTCTTCCATAATCAGGCTTTGCGGTGAAGCAGTTTCCGTCCCCGGTGTGTTTGAGTACCTCCGGCTCTTAAAACGAGATGACAGCAGGGGCTTTGGTGCGTTTCAGATGAGAGGGAGAGAGAGGGGCCCCAGGCGTCTGAAAGCAGGTTAGCAGCACACATTTGTGTCTTTAAAGCTAATTCGGTGAAGCTTGCGCGTCACACTCACTGCAGTTCGATGGATTGGTTCGGTTCTCAGCTCATCTCGGTTCTTTGAAAGCTGCTATTGCCGCGTCCTAATATAATTTCCATCTTTGAGTTATTCGTTGATCGTTTATGGTTGTGATATTCTTAGAAAAACGGTACATCCGTGAACTAAATGTTGGTGTTTATTTAACCCACCGTGCCTTTTGCATTTATTGACGGAATTCATTGGTTTTCCATCCATCGTCTGTCAAGTTGAGTCAGGGATTGATTCAGGCCCGCTCCCAAAGCAGATTTTGAGCATCACCCATAATAATAACAACAGTTGCTTGGACAGCAGTTAAATGTGCTGGGCATATTGCGCAACACACACAGGTCTACACGCAGTATGGGAAGAGACATGACTACGATCGTACCCTCACCCACATGGCGCTCCGTTTGATCTCCGGCCCACCCCCACTTGTTATGAATAGCTTTTCATGACTCAAACATTGCATGAACGTTGCCTGCGGAGCCCAAACAGACGCCCCCTTGCCCCCGTCGGCCGACTAGATGTTATGAAAGCTTTTGGTGCTCTAAACCGCCGTAACATTAACGGCGTTGGCCTCTTTCCCCAAACAACTTTAGTAGAACTTCTTCCATCGTCCGAGGCCAAGTCCCATCCCGAGGAAGTGGCGCCGCGGTCCGTCCGCGCACGCGGGGCTAAGTAGGTTAGCTCGATCCCAGACATCTCATGGCTTCTAAAAATACGGAGGGATTAATTGTTAAAGGTCAGATCTGACATGATTCTCTTACCTGACTTTCCTTTCTGCCGCGATTGGCTCTCTTTCCCCCCGCCCCCCTCGCCCGGGGGAGACGGTGTGAAATTAAATCCTGCCTTGGAGAGCAGAGCCTGGGCGTCAGGAAGCTCCACATCTCATTTCACACGATCAGCACTAAAGTGGGACGATGTGATTAGCGGGACAATGGTCCGGATTCATCGGGCTTGAAGTGGTTTGGTTTTTTTTCCGGAGGGGGGGTGGGTTTCAAGGGTAAGCGGCTCGTCTCTGGGAAGCCAATCCACCTTGACCGGAGACAAAAAAATAAATAATAATCTCGACCAATTTGTATCCGTAAATATGTTGCTGTGTCCTCTTGGTCTTCATGATCTCCTCCCTTTTGACGTTCCAAAAAACAGAATACCAAGAAACGGAAGAGCTTCAGGCAAGTTTATGATGGAGGGGGACAAAGATAATGGGCCTGAAGCTGTGGACTGAACACCTGTTCAACCCCTGCGTATGAAGGGAATTTGTAAAAAGCATTTCTTCTTCCCTTCACACTAGTGTGGATGGTTTGCCTACAGGTCTCAACAGGCCCCCATTAAGGTCGAGCGGAGGCTTCACAGGTCGTACAGGTGTCCTTTCCTTCTGCACACAGCGTTGTCTCGGTGTCTCGCTCCTACTCGTTTCTTCTGTGGGACCTCACATGTGTTTCCACCAGTCAAGGAGGAGATCCTTTAACCCGAGCTGCATGTTTTTACAACCCTTCTCCTCCATCCCTCGGCTGCCCTCAACACCCTTTTATCGTCCCCCCTCTCCCCCCAGTTTACCATAAAACATTTCCAGATGTGCCAAAACGAAAAAAGAAAGAGCGCTCCTTGCGCAGTAGCTTATTAATGGATTTTGTATGCTCGAGCTAAAGGTCACTTCCTAGGATTGTTTGCTTCGGCTATTGTCCCCCCACCCCGCCCCGTCTCTCCCAGGACACTGGACGGACACAGAAGGCCGTCAACAGGACGAGGCCGGGAGCACATGCACAACCCCCCTCCACCTCCTCCCCCACCCCTCGAATGTAAAGGGACAGGCCGATGCCAATAAGCTGGCGTCTAATTTGGACGGTGTGAGACCCGTGAGTATCGCAGGACACTGGGCCGGTGGCACCGGCACATGCGTCCATCCAGTGTCCCTGAGCGGCAGCTGGCCGGCCCATCGCCCACGACTCGGACCCTGTCTTTTTAATTTTTGTTTATATGTCTCTGCTGGGGCCACGATGTTCTGGCCACCCGTCTCCCTTGTGCTCAGTCTGCTGGAGACCCACGTGGGCCGGTGGCCAATACCCCCCCCCCCCCCCCACACACACACACCCCCCAATCGGTCTACCAGGGGCAGTATGCACAAAAAAATCTGATTGACATGCCTACAAAAACACTGTTATTGCCCCATTGAAGCTCGTTAGATAAATGGTGGGTCGTCATATTTAGCCAAGCCTTTTATTCACTCTGTTTCTCTTTCTCTTCTTCCTTTCAGATCACTGACTGAAAAGTGCCTTGTGAGACAACGTCATACTGAAGGGTTCCGGGGGACGTTTCTTTTGTCCCGTGACAACCCCCGACCTGTTTTTTTTTTTTTTGTCCTCACCTGAGTTCAGTGTGAAGAAAGCGAAGCGGTGGAGCTGCCGCACTGCGGCCCGATGTGCCAAAGCTCTTGAGATAGTCTGCAGTGCAGAGTTTTAAACAATAAACTGTGCCATCGCACCTCAGAATAGCACCACTTTTGCCCCGTTACCCACCCACAAATCATCGGTCCCGCGAAGGTCATTTCGGAGACATCGGTACAAGTGGAGCTTGTCGCCGAGCATGCCGCGTCAGAGGCCGGCACCTGAGACTCACTGATTGGTGAACAGTTAGCCGAGTTACCCACAAACCCCCGTGCAGCCCCATGCAGCGGACGCCGAGGCTCTGCCAGTCCGTTACCTCCACCGGCCTCACCCGTTCACCCCGGCAGATCGCTCGTAGCCGCGCGTTCCTTCAGTTTTAGTCGATTTTTGTTTTGGTTTCCCTCCCCTGCTGGAACGCTGCGAATCGCCTCCTCAGAGGAACCGCTCCACCCCCCCCGCTGCACGGCCGGCGTTGCTGACATGGCGCTGAACATCGCCTCGATGCGGGACACAAAATGGCTGACCCTGGAAGTGTGCCGGCAGTTTCAGAGAGGGACTTGTTCGCGCGGCGACGAGGAATGCAAATTCGCCCACCCACCCAAAAGCTGCCAGGTGGAGAACGGGAGGGTGATCGCCTGCTTCGACTCCTTAAAGGTGAGCACTCTAAACGCCTCGAGGATCCATCCTGTGCTCTTCATTCTGTTTTTTCCTCGCCGGAGTACAAAAGAATCGTCACGCTTTCACGCTAGTTTACCTCTCGGGCACGACGGCGGCCGTCAAAGGACTGTGGGATAATATGAATAATCGGATCGCGCCTCTGCAGCGGCGATATCGCATCCGACACCAAATGTTAGGACTTCGCAGCTCCGAACGGTGGGCGGTGTAGGTTGTCGGCTCAATTTAGCACGTGTGTCACGTCTCCATGCTTTTCCGCAGTTAGAAGACCGGCCTGACCTATGAAGCTAAAGGCCGTAGAGCGGCGTGTGTGTGTGTGTGTTTCTGTCTTTAGTTTTATTATACGGTAAGGTCTTCTAATGTTACCAGGCCGTGTCCATCATCTGCGCGTGTGGGCGAACATCTGATCGCCTCGAGTCATTCCAGGGCTTCTATTCCCGGGTGAGCGTCAGCTGTCACACACACACACACACACAGCCGCAGCCCGTTGTGTCACGGTTCTCACGGATACCTTTTCTGTGAGACGCAGTTCACAGTTTGTTGTAATTGACCACGTGCGGTTGATGCAGAAATCCACCAGAGGCAATAAAGCCGCGTTAAAGTATTTATTCCTCTAATAAAGTTGTGCTGTTTATTTCTTTCACCCCTTCCTTATTGAACCTCTACGCCAGACACGTTCAAAGCCCTCCCCAATTATAGCGAGGTCGCTTCATGCAAGAGGTCACGTGCTGCATCCAGGAGCAAGCCATTGTTTTAAGCTGCGTCAAAGTAATACATAAAAAAAACGCAGCAGTGACAATGATAAATAGCCAAGGAAACTGGAGCAGAACACTTCTTTTCTTCCCCCCTCCCCGTAAATATTGACTCTAGCTGCGTAGCACGAATGCAGCACTGCGGTGCCGCCTGGGCACATTGCACAAGGTCGCGTCCGAGGTCACAGCGACCCTGATCATCCGCCATTTATGCAGCTGTCCTTGAGTCCGACGCGGCATAGACCCAATGTCGCTTCCCACCAACACCTCGTGAAGCCGACCTCCTCGTCCCTCCGCGTTCCGACCCTCTTTAACGCCAGCTTATTGTTGAGTTTCATCGCGGGCGGAAGACAAATTCTGCAAATTTCTTGGTTTTCTTCATAGCCGGATCGGACCCTAAGTGCAGCCATTCGGTCACGTCCTCCCCCCTCCCCCCCCCCCCCCGCTCTCCTCATCACGCAAGCCGGCGACGGAGCAAGAATACAGGACGCTCTGTGCTTTTAACTCCAGACCCCCCCCCCCTCCTCCCCCCGTCCCCCACAAAGGACTCTCCTCGTGACGGCGCAGAGAATGGATGCTTTATTATGGATCGGGGGAAATGTGTTTGGCTCCGCGGCCGGCTGACTTCCACCCCCATTACGCCGGTGTCGCCTGTCCCAGGTCTTCTCAACCCGGGTGTTTGGCTCATGATGGGAACACGTTTCGTAAACACGTGAAAGGTGCAGCTCAAGAGAGGAGGAGGAGGCGCGAGCGCTTATAACCCTCCGGGCGAGGCAACAGCTCCCTCGAAGCCAGATATCAGATACAGCATCCAATAATTTCTAGACATAAGGATTTTCCTGTAAATGAAACACAACGCGGTGCCTCCGGTCAGAGGTCGCGAGGTGTTATTCACGTATGAGAGAGTAATTCGGTTACGTGAATCCATCCTGATTGACGAGACCATGAGAACAATCTGGCCTTTTCAGGTTTTCCCATCGCGAGGTCACGGTTTGGGAGAAGGAAACCGTTCCGTGCGAAAAACACTCCAGCGACCTAAATACCTACTTTTTTCTGTCGACCGCGAAACTCGCAGCCTCTGCTCTCGGCACTGCTGGGGGGGTCACGTCTGGGGAATCTTCCTCCGGCTCGGCGTTGTGAGCTTTAGAAATAGTCTCTCTACGCCGCATTTCTCATCTCTGGAAATGGGACACGGCCGCTTCATCTCTGTCCAACTGAGGCTGCGTCCACAGTTGGGCTGGTGGACCGCCCTGTTTCGTTCCCAGTGAGACATGGCGCCAAAAGTGGACTGTGGCGACCTCGACAACAGGAGTAGAAGGGGCAAATGTTCCCCTCACCATTCGTCCGTGACCCCCCCCCCCTCTCCCCCAAAACACTAATTTAAGGCACAATTGCTTCTAAAGGAGCGTTGCAAACCGTGCGTCGCGGTCGGAGCCGTTCCTTCCTTTAGGCCCTTTGATACTTGTCGCGGTGAAACCGTGACTTGGAGACGGGTGGGGTGGGGGGGCTGTGGGAAATGAGACCACCTCTGTTAACGGGCTTAATGCAATCGACCCCGTCATGTGAGGGTGTCTGACAAAAGCCCTGTTGTCTTATTCCCACAGTTCTTCTCTGACCCTGATAACCATGTTTTCACCCCCCCCTGTGCATTCAAATACCAGCAGCTGTCTGAAATATGACATAACACACGGGGGGTGTTGCAATAAAGCAGATAACAAGCAGCTCACGGGAGGGATTGGGATTAAGACAGCTATTTTTCCATAATGCATAAAATGTGAGCCTCCACACGGCGGACCAGATGTCTGATAACGAGGTCTGTGAAGGCTTCTTCCTCTTTGTACCGGTCACTAGCGTGTCTCATCGAGTCCGTCACAAAGTAGTAGCTGCACACGGGTGTGTGGGGGCCCCCTCCCTTTTGGTGTCTCTCACTTTGTAAGAACATCTTAATCCGGATTGTGCTTCTCAGGGGCATGGGACAGCTGAAGCCCGTGTAAATAAAGAAGCCAGAGAACATGGTAGGAAGCGAAGGTGTTTCTAAAATCAAAGGAAAGGGAAGAGGAGAAAGAGAAAATAAAGGCGGCATTGAGCCACAGCGACGTTTTCAAACCATTCAGGAGTCAGAAGGAAAGTGGCCGTAACCTTCAGTCAACCTTCAGACAGAAACCAGGTGCTGGGGAAGAGCCCAAGACCACTCTTTGTAATGTTTACACACTCCTCTTATTTAGCCGCAGCTTCCTCTCCCTGGGCTACTCCCCCCCCATTCCATCTCTCCTCTCTTGTTTTAAAAGATGGGCTCGGCCGCATTCCTCGGCGTAATCCTCTGGAAACGGGCCACGCCCTGGGCAGAGCAAACATGTGGAGGGGGAATGCTCGCGGCTCGGCCGGGGGTCGGGGTCTCTCACACAGACACAATGAGGCACAGACTTGGGCTTAACGCGGGGAGGGGGGGGGGCGGCATGCTTTGATGAGCCCGTGCCTCCCGTCCGGCCCCTTCCTGCACGGACACATGCGCGCACACTCGCTGTCTTCCCGTGCAAACCACGCCAGATTTCATTTGATCCGTGTGATTTCACACCCCCACCAACACTGTAGCTGATCTGAGGACAAGCTCCAAAGATAGGACGAGACAAGAGGGGGGGGTGGGGGGGTCAGCGTCGGCTCCCAGTCTGGTGACCCAGGTCCAGTTAGCCGCTCAGTCCCGGTGTACGTAGTGTCGTCTCACTTGACAGGTAGCAGAGAAATGAGATTGTGTGAGACCATTTTCTATCAGGTTGAAATCCCCAAAAGGGAAATAAAGATATATAATAATAATAATAATATCTAATTTATGTATTAGAGACTGAGCTGCGGGTTTCTGATGTTCATTCACCTAGAATGTGGGGCCATTTTTATTTTGAAAGTCTCAATCCGACTTTCCTTCCACTATCTCAGTGTTTTATTTATTTATTTCTGTCTTCCTGGGAAGCGACATGCTTGATTAATTTGGCCCGTGGATGGATATTTGCGAAGGATATTGATGTCACGAGAGAAGACACAGCACAGCGCTGCACTGAGCTCGATCAGAGGAGCTGATATCGTATCGTGCACGCTGGCATTCTAGTTGGGTCACTGCTCTGACCCACATCTGTGTGTGTGTCGGTGTGTGTGTGTGTGTGTGTGTGTGTGTGTGTGTGTGTGTGTGTGTGCATGTGTGTGTGATAGAGAGAGACAGCGGGAGTCTGCCTGATACTCCTCAGTGGACTGTACCCACTACTATTCTCTGAATATACATGAAAATGATTTAAACTTGTTTAAATGCCCTACTAATGTAGCACTATGTCTTTGCCTACACAGTCAATACTACGCGTTTTAAGGTCTGTTGTTCCTGAATAACAGCTTGTTGCCAGGGACACAGGTCTGACCTCTGTTCACAGCGACCGGACTATTTTCTTTGGTGGAAGCGGAAGCTGTTCGGGTCCCACTCATACAACCCCCCCCACTCCCCCCACCCCTCCACACACACACACACACACACCCGTTGGAGTCAACTCCCCAACGTTGAGCAACCCGCTGTCCGTGAGCTTGTTTCCAGCTTTTACCCGCTTCCCCGAGAACGCACGTGTGTGTGTGTGTGTGTGTGTATGAACCCACAGTTCATCCACTGGCTTTTAGTACCGCTGCTTTACAGTTTCCATTTATTTCTTCTTTGTGGACATCTCTGCCCTTTTATGTGGGCAGCCAACCTAAAAATATTCCATAGAAACAAACAGCGGAGGATAGTCGGGTAGTGCTGTGAAGGCAGGGTTGTGTCCAAAATCAAGCAGCAACATTGCAGACATGAATCCGCATATATATATATATATATCCTACGTGACTTCTAGGTGTATACATGTACATATATATAATAATATATGATACCAAAGGGAAGAAACGTGGGTTTTGTTACATAACAGCGGTCTGCGGTTTCTCCACCACTCTCCTCGCAGACAGTCTTTGTTGTTTCATATATATATTTTATGTTCTCTTTTAAACAGAAAATGTCCGCCCCTCCTGCCGGCCACGTCATCTTGAATAGCAAGCGTTCGTCCCATTGAAGGCGATGGAGACACCGAGCGACGGGGAAAATCTTTCCCATCTGCTGTACCGGTGTCTCACCTGGTCTCAATCCACCCACCATCTCTGAGTCATCCTCTCTGCTGCCCACAGTGCCGATAAAGTACTACGTTCTCTGCAGATTGTTTTCTTCTC